TTTTATTTTCATTAATTTTCATTAATACCATAATTACGAGTATAAGAAACGTATGTGTTTTACGTACGTATTATACGTTACTTTAGTAACGCATACATTTAGGCGGAGAAAGCAAAAACTAAATGAAGCAAAGAGTAAAAATTAAAGACTGACCGCGCTGAGGGAAAAGTGATGTGAAAAACTTCAAAAAAAAGTCATGCAACTTAACAGTTGAAAAATTGTGTTCTTATCTATCTACGTCTAAAGAATATTAAAATTATTTACGTGGTTTCAAAGTCATAAAATTATTAAAAATGTCAAAGTTAAGCTGTTCCTCTTGTTCATTGTTAAGAGATTAAAAATCCCAGACATTTGCTTAGCCTGTGATTGATTTTCTTAGTCAATCAAAAATACGTGTAATAATTGCAAAATTTGCAAAATTTGCAGAATTTTAACATCATTCTTAAATTCAAAAAATTTATGCTCTATAGCCAGCAATTTTTTTTTCGTTAAATCTTGCATTTATTTTTATTAATAATTTTCATTACTCTTGTATGCTTGTTTGTAAAAATATTTTTGTACATGACACTTATAATATACAAAAATTAAATAACAGGTGGGCAAAAGTAATTTTTCCTTGTTTTGTTTCCTCAAAATTTTGATTTTTTTTTGTTTGTTGGTTTTTTACACACGCTCCATAAATATGTTTCATATATAGCATTTAGCTGTCAAAAATCAAAACATAGTAAATGACAAAATAAAGTACTCAATTTTACAAAATTATATGACAATGAGAATATGAATTTGAGTGCGAAATAATTTTAATATTGTTATTGATGTAAAAACTAAAAAATAGTCGAAGTTAAGCTAAAAACACATAGTGATTGAAAGAAATTGTTATGGTGTTTTTAAAAATAATTGAAAAATAGTTATTATTTCTATTAAAAGTTCACTGTTTTCCGTTTATAATAAAAATGTTATGATGGTTTTAAGAAGTTTATTTTTAGAAAATACACAATCCTATAAGATAATGTTATCAAATAGTCCAAAAAAAATAGTGGAGGTATAATTTTCAAATTTTTTCCATTTTTTGAAAATAATCTTCTGTAAATTACTGCGTTTTCGTTTTGAATTGCAAAAGCACATATTTATACGGGGAACGGAGATATGTATGCGTATATACATAAGTGTTTATAAACACAACATTTATAATATTATTACACGTATTATTTCTAACACTGTATTGGTTCTTTAATGGTACATAATGATAATAAACAGTTAAGAAGAAAAATGATTAGATTTTCTTTCTTGTTTTAACATTCAACTTTACCGTTACCACTGTGAAAAGAAAAATTCTTCTGTCTTTGAAGAAAATAAAGGAAGCATAATAAGAGAAAAATGAATTTTAGATTTTGTTGTTTTTATTCCGTTTTTTTTTTTGTTTTTTTAAGAGAGAAAAGAAAATTTATTTTTTTACATTTTCATATATAAGACATTATTGTTTTACATTCTTAATATTTGGTTAGGGTAGGTAACTTATGTATATATACATATGGTATGTGCACGGTATAAATGTATGTAAATGTTTTATTTTATATACTTAAGTGCTTTAAATAACTAAAGTGAATTGAAAAATATCTTATTACTGGGAAATTTTATTTTTGAAAGGTAAAAATTATGAACTCAATACAATTTTAAGCGCTTTATGCATAAGAGAGGCAAAGAATTTTTACTTTTCTTTGATTTTTTTTTCACTTATTGAATTTTGATTTTACGATTTTATATTATTAGTTTCTAAAAGCCCTCAAGGATTTTATGTAAAAATGTGTGTTTATAGGCAATACATGTATGTAGTTCTTTTTCTAGATACATATAATACGTACGTACACATTTACACATGTAATGTTAATAAAAAAGTAAATTCAAAATTGTTTTTATTAAAAAAAAATTTACCTTTTTTTTTGTTTTGCGTACCTTTAGGTATTAGTAATGTTTGTTGTGGTATTTTATTAAAATTTTAAACACAAAATACAAAAAAAAAATTAAAAATATTTACAATTTTTCTACTTTTTAGACTTCTGGGAAAATTTTGCAGAGTAAACAGAGCATTTAACGCTTTTATATAAAAACTGTAATGATTGACTGTTATTAACAATATTGTCCTTAAATTTCATTTGGAAAAAGAATATCAAGTTTTCAATTGCTATTTTTTTGAATCTAAATGAAGAAATAAAATTTCATGAAATTCTCATAAGCCATTTTAAATTGAATTAAAATTTAAAAATATTTTCATATCAAATTAGTTGTGATTGTGGAAAATATTTTGGAAGATCTGAAATTTTTGTTCATTTTGTTTAACAGTTCTTTCGTTAATCTTAATAGTTGTGATGGTTCATGGGACAAGACTGATCGAAGTATTTTTGTTTTAATAATTAAGAAGCACAATGTGCGATATCGAAAGAATTTTGAGTTCTGTAAAATACAAAAACTTTATAAAATAATTAATTTCGTTTAAAATCAGCTTAAATCTTTAAAATTCCTTTAAAATTTGAGATCTGAGATGTAAGATATTGCTATAACTGAATTGTGGAGGAATAAATTTCAGAATATGTTAATCATATTAAATTTCTTTGTTGCTTCGTTAAAAAAAAGAATGAAAAATAGAACAGGAAATATTTTTTTCCTAAAAAAATTTATGATTTTTAAAAAATGGATGACTTCATATTCGAACTGTGCTCTTCCTTGAAAAATTTATGTTTGTATTTTTTAATTTTTTTTCTTGTGTCCACAATGGTCTGTATAAAATGTTCGGCACATCAATAAATTAAACAATCAATCAATTTCTTTTTTATGAAAAATCCTGCAGAGACGCATGGTATGGGTATATGTATATGGGTAAATATTTTTTTGCCTCCCAGAAAATATTTACGTATGTATTTTGTGTGCTTCCTGCTCCAATCCCCAAAGTGTATTGATTTTTCTTAAAACAACCGAAGAAATAAATTAATTTCTTCAATAGACTAAAAGGTTACATTGTCCATTTATTTTTAGAACGCTTGCTAACTCACACAGAGGTTTCACTAGGGCTAAGAACAATATTTTTGTAAGATTAACATTATTTCTTCACTTCAAGTGAAATAATATCAGTTAAATCTGATGTTTTTTCCAAACTTTTTCAATTTTTCCTACCTCGACTTGAAATTAAGTTCTGCTACTGCGTAAGTGACAGCTAAAAGTATTATAATAAGTTCAGAAAATATTTTAATTTTGAATTTCAATAAATATTAAAATTTACTTTTTTATATGTAGCGACTTCTTTGAATGTCTTCCGAATGAGAAAACCCAATTTTCTGTTTATTTCATTTTAATTTTTGCTTTTTACTTTAATATTTTTCTCCTTAAAGAGCTTTCAATTAAATTCCAAATTCAAATAATCCCAATTTTTACAAAATTCCTAATTTTTTTAAAATAGGAATATATGTACACACAAACATGCAATGCATACATACATATATGTATATATTTCATAAATGAAAAACCCAATACAGATATTATAAAAGACCAAAAAACCTTTTAAAAGAAACCAACAATGACAAAGTCAATTTGTTTTTTTTCTTTTTTTTTTGTGTACCAATGATCATTTTATATACCATTACTAACACTATATTCCACACACTAGATATACATAAATCATTTAGAAACATAAAATGTGATATTTCATTTTATATTCTTTACTATTTCATAAAAGGTTTTCATGCTTTCACAGAGAAAACATCATCTACAACTTTAAGTATCTCTTATGATAAACATAATATCACACCATATACGTAATGTGATGTAAGTTTGTACAAAATATATTACGTATAAAAATATTTCGTGATGAAAGGCTAAAATAACTTGGAGGAAATTTCGACACAATGTGTGGCAAAGATGTACCAATCTTAAAATCGCGTTTATAAAACTTAGCAAGTAAAAATTAGCTTCTAGCTGTATATGTATGAACAGAAGGAAGGGAACAGAAGAACGGGAGGGAGAAAAGAGTAAAATTAATAAGCAAATTTTTTTCCAATTTTGACGGAAATGTGTTAAGAACTATTGGTTAATTAAAACATTTCCCGATCTGACATTCAAAATCGAACATTATTATTCTCAATCGATTTTCAAATTTATTACGTCATTTAATAAAATCATCTAAACGCATCGAGAACCTTACATAGATATATAATAGTATTGACATTCATACATGCATAATATTTTTTATCTGGGTAAAATCATAAACCTTCATTACAAATTCCATTCATACGGAAACACAATACAAAGAATGAGAGAAAAAAAAATGTACTTAACCATTCAATTTTCGATACAATGTGTTTTGGGTGATAGTTTATAATTTATAACATTCATTGAAGTGGTATAAACTTTTATAATAATGGTTATTTTGTACTTTGTTATGTAGTGGTAAATTTGATAAAAGATTTCATAAAATAATTTTTGAGTAAATTTTTATAATCATCAAATAATCAATACAAGAATTAATCTTTATAAACACCCATGTTTTCTTTTTATAAATATCCTACACAGTTTTACTAATATTATTTAGTAAATTTTCGTATAAATTTGAAGATTTGATATTAATGTTTAGTAAGAAACAGGTATTAGAGGCCAGTAAATTTGAAAAATGAAGTGAGTAAACTCTTGCAACCAAAAATCTTAATTTGAAAACTCGCATTGTGAAAGAGAATGAGAATGACACTAGTGGGACTCTAGATGAATAAAAATCAATTGGTAGAAATAATAAAAAAATTTTTTAAATTTTAAGAATAATATTTTGATTAGCTTTTCGATAAAATGAAATATCGCATTTCACATTTTTAATAAAGTGGAACCACCTCTTCTCGATATTCACTTTTATTCCCTCACTACTCTATATAATAAATAGTAATAGCCACAACAAACCTATGATATTAAAAAAAAAAAAAAAAAAAATTACGTAGTCTAGTAATAATAAAACTCTGATGATATATAAAAAAATGTCATATATGTATATTTAAGAAACAAAACAATTCCGAAACAAAAAACAGAAATTTATTCTTAGTTTACCGAAATTTTTACCATCCAGCTTTTACGCCAGCTTCTGTATTCTTAGTATGAAGCCAATTTTGCAATGGTTCGAAATATTCTAACATACCATCAGCTTTCATACCAGTTTCATCACCAGTAACAGCAGCTAAAGTTTTCTTCCATGGTTTCTTAGAACCCAATTGCATCATATGTTTAAGAAGTGCACCAGCTTCTTTGCTCTTATGGAAGTTGCAGTTATGTAATTGAAGGGTCTTATCGCCTTTAACATAATCACCTTTCTTTTCGCATAATGTCTTATAGATTTGATAACCAATAACTTCGGATACGAATTTACTGGGAAAAAAATGTTTATAAATTTTAATTCATATATAATATATTTGATTATGTAGATTGTAAAAATTTTATTTAAAAACTCACATTGATTGTTGATTGCTTTCAATTTTATTGTAGAATTTCTGAGGGAAATCTAAATTCTCAGCATTTCTTTCAACTGGTGGTGCAACTCCAACATATTGTTTCATTAAATCCCAGTAATGTTTATTCAAATCCTCAAATGCAACTGTACCATCTAAGACATCAGCAATAACTTTAACATGAACGAAATATTCTGGAACGGTTAAGAGAGTATGTACACCCTAAAAGAAAATATATAAGTTAATTCCAATTTTTGAAAATGAACGTTCCCAACGAAACTTTCAATTGCTAATATATATTAAAAAATTTTAATTTCTTTACCATTCTATATAAACGATTCATGTCTTCAACTTCTGGTAAAGTATCAACATCTTTATGTCCAATTTCGTGTAAATATTTTGGTGTTGTTGCAGATAAAATAACGGCTTCACCAGTGGCGAGTTGTAAGTTATAGGGTTCTGAGTAAGCGAATGCAAGATTTTTGTGTTCATTGGCATAATAAATTCTGGCAGCATAACCGTGCATTTGGAAGAATCTCTTAATATTAACTTCACTGCAATATTTTAAGTATGTTGCATTACCGCCATCATAAATTTCAGGACTGCAGTCATCTCCCTTCTTCTTTACTTCTTTGACATAATCAGTCCAATAATTTCTACAAAATAAAATTAACTTTTCATTTGCGTTTTAAAGTAATATCCAAATTAATCTATTAAATTTATATTAAGTTGCTGATTTTTATCACAAATACTGTAATCGTTTATTAGACGAGAGTCAACGATTTTTCTTTCACTTCTGCAGTTCTAAATACTAAATTAAATAGAAATACTTGCGCCTAAAAAAACTTACTCTGGTAATTCTGATAATCCTAATGAGGTCATAAAGTTACTAGCAAGATCAAGTACTTCTTTGGCGGTTTCTTTGAAATTGTTTTCGACTGGTAATTTAACATCTTTGAAATCTTTTGCAATAATTGAATCAGGTTTCCAAGCTTGAGCCTGTGCCAATTCATAGAAATGATGTGGAATTAATCCACTTTCAGGTACTTTATCACCAAATTTCTCATGTAAAATATGTCTAATATATGCATGTATTTCTTTATACAAAGGTTCCAAATCTTTAACAACCTTCTCCATATCTTCACCGAAGTGTTCATCTAAATATTCACTAAACCAAGCATATTTTGGTGATTTACCAAATTTCTCTCCAAGTTTTTTATATAAATCAACCAAAGTTTTTAGTTTTTTAATAGCCTCTGGTGAGTTTCTTTCACGCCATTCTTTCCAATAATATAAAAGCTCTTCTGGATCATCTGTAGATTTTAAAATTTTAGCAAGTTCTCCATATTTTGATTTACATTTTTTTTCAGCGTCCTTGAATTTACAGAAGTTTTCATGTTTTAAGTAATCATCGAAATCATCTTCTGACCAAGTTGTGTAATCATCCCCTAATGCAAGAAGTCCTGGCATTGTTTTCAATTTTAAAATACCAGTTATAATTTCTTCATCACTATATTGATCTATTGGAAATTTATAAGCTTCATCAGATAATGTTGTAATATTTTCAACGGCTTCTTGAAGTTTTCCAATTGATGCTAAAATGAAGAAAAATGCTAAGAAACCAGTTTCTTCACTAGATGTCCAATCACTTGATGATGAATCAGAAATTTCATTTTCAGCTGAAGCTTTTGTTGGGCTCTTAGTACTTTCTTCACTGTCATCTTCAACTAAACTTTCCAATTCAAAAACAGTAGTAGCGATGTCATTGTAAAGTTCTAAAAATTTATCACTAGACTCTTCAATAAATTTTTTAGCTGATGATTCATCCAGTGCTGGCATAGCCAACTGAAAATAAATATATCAGTTGAAATATTAGTTGAATAAAATTAAATTGACTGTAAAACAATAACCCCTTTAATATTAAAAAACTAATAATAACATTTGCAAAATTTTTTACTATTCAAAATTCTCACAAATAATAACGATGATCAAAAGCTGTATGAGAAAAAATCAAAATCATTGTATTTAAATTTCAAGAATTGTGACTAATTCTGAACATAGTGTTATATAAATCTAAAATGTATTTTTAGATTTTTTAAATAATTTATTGAATCAATTAATACTGCGGTGTTAATTGAACAATAATTCGGTCTATCCTTAACTTTAGATGCCGATAACAAAAATCAAACAATTATTTTTGAAATTACAAAAAAAATCATAGGGTTAAATAAAAAATACCGGGTATTAAAGAAAAAAAAAATTATATAACTTTAAGAAAATTATATGTAATTTTTTTTTAATATTTTACATAATAATAATAGTTATTCCATATATATATGTAATTATACATTGTACATATTATATAATTTCTAATATAAAACTGAACCCATACAAAACCTTAAAGTATTAAAGCTCTTAGATCTTGTCTAAATAAATAATTATTGCACAAATTGTGTTTTATAATTTAAATTAAAATTTCATAAGTCCCGAATATTCTTAAATTTTAAAAGAATAAAAAAAGTAATCAAAGTAATAATTATAACTTACCAATGTGGCAGCACAAAGGCACAAAATTAATATTGTCGATTTTAACATTTTGAAGACTTTTAATAAAAACTTCTTTACCTATCAAAGGCAAGACTAAGAATAAAATTTGTTCCTTAAAGGAGTTAAAAAGTAAATTCATTTCTTGAGTAAAATTCAAAAATAAAAACAAAAATAGGGAAAAAGTTTATTCAAATTAGTAGAAATCAATTTAAGTACCTGATAATTTGAGGCCGAACATGAGATCATTTTTTTTTTAAAAACAATAGATAATGTTCACTTTTTTTATTTTTAATTGTAGTTAAAATAAAAATAATATTTAATAGTAATTACTTTTTCATTTGCATCTAAAAATGTCATATTTCGAAAACTTGAATTTGTGGGAAAAACCGCTTTGACTAAATCAAACACATATAAGAGTATAAACAAACATACTTAGTTTTATATGTATTTACCGTTTATTAAATGAGTTTTCGCTGCTGTTTTCATCAATGTTTTTATTTATTTTAAATAAAAAAAAGATTTAATATCAATTTGAATTGAACTTGTAACCCTTTTGTTTTTGTTTACCTACTTTGATTAATATGTTATTAGAAAATGATATTACATATATTACACAAACTTTTATGTACATACATGGGTATATATACATTATATGATAGGCTGATGATCAAATCTAATTTTGACAATAGTACATGATGCACATATTAACTCTATCTAATAAACTTCAAAGAAAACTGTTCAAGATCCAAGGAAATCACGCAATATAAAGAAAAATGACTTCGTTTATACATACATATGTCGAATTGAGTACTTGACTTGAAATTTTAATCTGTATATACATATTACATTGTACACGTTGATATAATATTACACACTTGAAATCGATTTGATTTCACAAGCAATATATAATAATTTGTCATTTGTAACCTTTCAAAATCGAAACTAACAGTTTCGGATCGACTTGAGTTGAAAACTTGAAATCAATAGCGTTTATATGATCTCGAAGAACGCTTGAAATCGACTTCAAGGTACATAAATTGAGAAATATATGTCACGTGATTCTTTTCACTTATTCAATAATTTTTTGCAGGCAAAAATATAGAAGGTAAAAATTATTGGTTCGAAACATGGCTGACATATACTCATGTTTTTGTTATATCAATATTCAGAATTTCTTTAGGTTCCAGTTTTTTTTATGCAATCTTGTTCAAGATAAACTCAAGTAAATGAGTAAATTCCGTTTCCACATGTTTTATTCTCATTTTTTTAAACTATCGCGAATTTTCATAGGAGAATTTTATTTTGGACAGACCTAGTTTTTTTTGCAGTATTATGTACATATGTTTGTTAGTTTGCAGTATTCGTACATATGTATTAGTTTGAATATTTATATTAGTTAAAAATGGATAATTTACATAACATTTTAAATGCTTGAGAACATTTTTAAAAAACTTCACAAATTCCCAAAAATTGCATATTTTAAACTTAAAACGATTTTCTCTTGAGCACACGACATTTTAATTAACATCATAGAATCTCTTAATTTCATTTTAAAAGTTTTTTTTGGGTGATTATTATAAATTTTTTTTATCATTATGATTGACATTTCTATTTATTGAAGTAGTGTGATTGATACAAAGTAAAAAACAAAAGCAACAAAAACTAACATGAGCCGGCAACTTTTGGTAATAAAAACACGAAGAAAAAAAACAACGTTTTTGCAAAAAAATTAATTGTTTTTATTTTTTTTTGTTTTGCAAAAACTTTTCGAAGATTTAAAACAAGTTTTTGTTATTTTATTAAAGTACGGTGTAGTTTTTTATGTTGTATTCTGTCGGTGTAGAAAAATAAAAACAAAATTTTATTTTGCTTTTATACAAGATAATCTTTACCAAATAGTTACTCTAAAGCTATATAAAATACAGTTCTTGCCTTTTATTATTTAATTTTAATTATGTAATAATTAAATATACAAGTGTGACAATTTAAGTGTCAGCCAGTTAGTCAGTCACTTTAATGTCGCAATATAAGATTAAGGCGAATTCATTGATACGTCGCATTAGGAGGACCTTTTTTTAAAGACGCTCTCATCGTTCATCGCCTCATGTGAAAGTGATGAACTTATTTTTTTTTTGGTATTTCATTCCATTCCAAAATTATACGTCACTACTTTTAAGTATGAAACATAACTGCGCGCGTTCATTGGTGCTCGTAAGACGCTCTCATCGTTCATCGCCTCATGTGAAAGTGATGAACTTATTTTTTTTTTGGTATTTCATTCCATTCCAAAATTATACGTCACTACTTTTAAGTATGAAACATAACTGCGCGCGTTCATTGGTGCTCGTAAGACGCTCTCATCGTTCATCGCCTCATGTGAAAGTGATGAACTTATTTTTTTTTGGTATTTCATTCCATTCCAAAATTATACGTCACTACTTTTAAGTATGAAACATAACTACGCGCGTTCATTGGTGCTCGTAAGACGCTCTCATCGTTCATCGCCTCATGTGAAAGTGATGAACTTATTTTTTTTTTGGTATTTCATTCCATTCCAAAATTATACGTCACTACTTTTAAGTATGAAACATAACTGCGCGCGTTCATTGGTGCTCGTAAGACGCTCTCATCGTTCATCGCCTCATGTGAAAGTGATGAACTTATTTTTTTTTTGGTATTTCATTCCATTCCAAAATTATACGTCTCTACTATTAAGTACGAAACATAACTGCGCGCGTTCATTGGTGCTCATCACCAATGGAACCAACTAATTCACTAAGGCGAACCAACTAATTCACTTCAAGGAGTTTGCGTTTGACATCATGAGCATTGTTATGCCTGTTTGTCTGCAAAACTCTTTGGCAAGAAGAATAAAGAGTATATCATTCATTGAGCCAAAAATCGTCGCGCAAACACAGGTATTGTTGAGAGATTTATTTGGTGATTTATTTTCTATTACATACAAATTACATTGTGATTATAACATGTAATCAACTGTACAAGTTGTCTTCGTCCATTAAGCGCTTGATTATACAATGATGAATTATGGCAGCTATGTTCCTCAAATAAGTAAAAACAAACACATTAATTATAATATGAATAATGATTAGAATGGGAGTGAAAACATATGGTACAAATGAATACCTTATTATGAATTAAGCATTTTAAAATACATATAATAATTGTCAATAATTTGCTGTCTGCAATAATAGAGCATAGCCATGCTTTTTTTTCTCAATTTATATTATAATTATGAAAAATTTAATAAGTAGTTTATTCCACAAATTCTACATTCTTATGCATATTTTTCGTTAAAAGCAAGGTCCAAATCGCACTATTTTACAATTTATCAAGTATATTTATTAGTAAATTTGCTTATTGGAATGCTGTATTAAATTTTCTCTAACAATAATGTACATTTGACAAAATCAAAAATTAAATTTAAATAAAAAATCGCGCTATTTCTCAAGAATTAACCTATGATTAGATGCTTTTTCTTTTTTTTGTTTGAGATGATATTTTCAAATGCATTCTATTTTTATAATAACAAAATTAAAATAGAACTGGTTTGAAGCTAATGAATAACATCTAAAAGGCGATTTTGTTTTTGTATTGTCTCTAAAGGGTAACAAAAAAAACTAAATTAATTTTTTGGAAACGCTTATCTTGTCATAGGAATAATTTTGAAAACAAAATATAAAATTAAATTTAATAATTAATTTCTCGTGTTATACATAAAAATTTAAGAATTATTTTAAATTGAAAATAAAATATACAATCAAAGTTCATGACAACTTCATATTATCATCTCTTCCTAACTCTTATGTAATTTTAATTTCAAATTTGATAATATTTTGAATAAAATTATAACAAATTTTTAAAGTTCACTTTTAATTTATTATATAACTTTTTAAACCTCAAAAATTAATATGATTTTGTTTTATAAAAAAATTTCCTGCATGTAAAATCGATCAAATTTATTCTTAATATTATATTAATTTTCCAATTTGCAATTAATTTATGTATGCATATTAAATCTAAAACAACTTTGTCACTAAAATTTTCATTTTTTTGTTCACAGCGAAAGGATTAATTCGTATTAAGATAGATTTATGTTATCAAAATTGTAATCAATAATTTATTAACAATAAGTTCCAAGGGTATCCATTTTTGCTGCAATAAAAAGTTCGCAGCACCATCTCTAAAGAAAACGGAAAATTTTTACACCAAATTTTAAAAATGCAGTTTAAACGTGTAACTGAGAAGTAATATGCTACGTGGTATTCTATTCCAGAATAATAACTGCGGAGGTTAAAACTAATACGGCGCAACGAAAAAATCGAGATTGCTGTTCCAATTTTTGTAAAAAACAATGTTGTTACTGTAGTTTTTCAATAATGAAATATCAATGAAAAACTAAGCATATGCTGTTGAATTATCATGTGTTTTCTAATTAATAGAGTATGGTAATTCGCGAAAATTTTGTTTTACAATAAATATGTAAATAATATATATAAATAAAATAATACATGTATAGACAAATAACTAGACTTTTGTATAATATATAAAATAAATGGATGTTTTGCACTTATGAAAACAAAAATTTTGACATATGTAAGTATTTTGAGAAAACAGTGAACAGTTGGGGAGCCTAACCTCAATAATTACATAAACATGAGAAAATTACAAAATTTATTTACACTTATCAATTTGGTAGACACACTTATTAAAGAATAAAGCTTTCTTAACAAAAAAATTAAATTCAATGTTTTTCATTCGAAAATCAAAAAATATTAATTTTTTTTGTAACAATTCGAAGAACTCGATAATGGACATTGAAATGTTCCCATCACTACTTGAGAGTAGCATAGCATAGTTATTTTGTAAATGAAGGTTACTTAGAAACTATAATTTTTTAAAATGCAAATAATTTCTAAATTCGGTTAACATAATTATTTGATTGTATGTAGTTTTCTAATGTTTTACTTAATATCAAAATAAAAAAGTACTGAGACTTAACAAATGTTTTCTAAGATAGCCTGCTGACCTTAGATTTTAGACACAGTGACCCATATACATTTTTTGTACGTACATATGTACATAAGTATGTCAATATAAATATTAATTATTAAATTTTATTTTAGATAAGAAAAGGTGGTTTGGAGCTCCCTGCGATCGCTATAAATTGCACTATAAAAATTAAAAAAAGAAAATTTTGAAATAAAGCAAATATGTACATGTAAGTTCTATGTGTGCTTATAGAAGTAATATATATGGTTTGTCAAATTAGAATTATTAATGGGCTTGTGTATATTATAACGTAAGTAAATTATTATATGTAGATTGTGATTTAATCTGTAAGAACTGTTGCGTTTGTTTTGATATGTTTTCAGTATTATCAAGAATTTTTTCTGAACAAATACTTTGTGTATGAAAATTATTTTAATTTAAGATTTTTATAAATATTGTTGTATAATTAAATGTTGTAGAAATATTTAATTGTAAACTATAATTTAATAGATTTATATTTAGAAAAATTTATGTCACTTTTTTATAACTTCAAAATTCTTCTTGAAAATCATGTTACAATATTATGTACATGTCTGTTAATATTTCTATTTTATTAATATTTCTACCATGGTATCTGTTGCACCAATCAGTTTTTTTAACAATCAATAAAAAAATATACAATATTTATGTTGCATCTATGATCAAAATATTAATGAATTCGACTAATAAAAAAAATGCATTTTTAAAAATTAAAAAAGTAAACAAAAGTCAATGTAGAAATGCTTGATGCCCAGTTTCAAAGTTCACGTTTCAATAAACTCTATTTTCAAATTAAATATTGAAATTAACTTTTTATCGAAATTCTATATTATACTCAGAACTGTGTGTTATTTTCGCTTAGACACTTTAAGCCTGAAAAGCCTGTGAAAGATTAGGATCTTAAGAAAAAGTTTTAACAAAATTTATAGAGACCTATAATATTAGAAGTTAGAGTTGCCCTTAGAGTCCACAAATGATGTTTCAATTTATTTACTTGCCAGATTTTTTTCAAACTCTCATCGATTGGCTTATATTTCCAGTTTCCAAGGTTTAAAATGTATGATTTACGGTGACATGATTACATGGTGTCAAAAGAATATAATAAACGAAATAAAATCTTATATATTATTTTATATATGAACGGAATATGAGTATAAGGTAGATCCTCAAAATATGCAATTATTCTACAAAGGAATTGAAGAAAAATTTTGAAATGTAAAAAAAAAATGAAAAACTCATCTTGCAAAATGAACTTTATTCAATTTGTTAAGCATAACTTCTAAATCTTTGTTTTTAATTTAAGCTTTTTTAAAAGGTAGTTTTTGAAAACAGAAACAAACAAATTCTTTTTAATTTGCACGGCACCAGAGTAAATAAGCTATATTTTAACGGCAACAAAATAATGCTACAAAATCATTTCTTATTCGTGCAAAAATGAAAAACGATAAAGGTTTTTGTATTCTCCAACCGACTGAAATTGTTGTTTTTGTTTAGGATAAGAAAAAGTGAAATTACTAAAATAATTCAAACCTTTTGTTTAAAAACCTATTGCAATTTTATTAGTATGTCCAATATTTCCAATATTTCTATTTTATTTTTACAGTTTTATTCCAATATTTCTATTTTATTTTTATTTCAGCTAACACATATGAAACCAGGGCGCAACAACTTTTTTTAATTAATTAATAAAAAAAAATTATGGAAAATTAAACACATTAAGTGCATATATAGCTCGGAATATTTTAAAAGGCTGTGCATTTTCAATAAGCTGTATTATAGTCTTATTATTGATGACTTAAGTGCAGTAAATTATTACACATAAGTTATAAGGCCACACCAATGACGGTTTAATTACCGACAGAACCAAAAAAAATTCTTTTTTGTGTTTAAGTACTTATCAGGAAAAATTTAGAGGAGAGAACCTTCTATTTCTCATATAAGTTCTCCTTCTTCTAAGTTTTTACTTACAGTATACGAATCTTATTTTGTTACCAAAAGCTACATCAATTTTCTGCTAATAATCAGATAATAAAACAACATAAAGTCAAAATGGATATTTACTTTATTTCGAACAATAGAAATCATGTGTTAAGTCATAGCGTCTTAAAGTCTGATATTTTAATGTTTCGAATCTCATCTTGGAGTAGAGAGCCTCAAATTTACAGCTGGAAAATTGTCAGAAAATTAATGTTTTAAATATTTCTTTAGAAAAACAATAAATTGTCGTGAAAAATCGAATGCAAAACAATCAATGGTAAATAATAATTACGATAACATTGAATGAACGTAAACGCAATTAAATTAATAATTCTGACCTTTTTCACTTGGCGTCCATCCAATATTAATTTTCTTTATTTGAATTTGCTGTTGCAACCAGCTTCTTAATGGTGAATAATAATGCAATAAACCTTGTGCTGATAAACCATTATTATTTCCATTAACAACATTTAATACTTCTCGCCATCGTTTTTTTGATCCTAATTTCATCATATTTTTTAGACTACGTCCAACTTCATTATGTCCTTCCAAATTACAATCATGTAATGGTTTATCTTGTGCGTAGAAACCATATTTTCCAGCTATTATACATAATGATTCATAAAATTGATATCCAAGAATTTCAGACACAAATTTTCTGAAAAATTTCCACAAAAGTAATAATTTTTATTATGAAACAAATAACTTAAATTAAAGTTTACGTTACTAAACGGTTTGCTTTTAAATCTTCAAAAAATTTATATGGTAAATCAAGAGCTTCAATATTACGATTGATTGGTGGTTCAACTCCTGCATACTGTTCCATTAATTTCCAGTAATGTACATTAATATTATCAGTAGTTGTAGTACCATTAAGTATATCTTCAATTAATTTTACATGGACATAATATTTTGGTATATTAAAAATGGTATGAACCCCCTGAAATAACAAATTTTTTATTAATATTTTAATTTGAAATATCATTTATTTCAGAATATTTAACCATTCTGAATAGACGATTCATTTCCAATTCTGGTGTGTATGTGGAGTCTTCAACAATTCCAAGGTTTGTTAAATGTGATGGTGATGACGCAGATAATATTAGAGCTTCACCTACTGCATCTTCAAATTTATATGAACTAAAGAAATGGAATGGTAGGTCGCGTTTTTCATAAGCGTAATGAACACGGCCCATGTAACCATGCATTTGTAAAAATTTCTTGATATTAACTTGTGGGCAATATTCCATTCTTATATTTGGTGTTTCATCATAAATTTCAGCTTTACATTCTGATCGTAATTCATTATCACTTTTTTTCTTAAAATTTGATCTAATATTTCTACAAAAAGAAAAAGAGGGAAATTTAGTAAGTTTAAGTTAGTTTTCGTATTTCAACTTTTAAATCATACCTGGGAATAGAACTTAAACCCATTGATGTGTAATATTGTTCTATAATGTTTATCATTTTTGTTGGGTTAACATTTTGATTCTGTAAGCCAGCTTTTAAGTTCGGTAATCTTTGGTCTGGATAAGGTTGTGGCAAAATACTATCTTTTTTCCAAGCTTGCATTGATATAACTTGGAAAATATGATCTGGTATCGGACCTGTTTTTGAAACAATATCTTTACCAAATATTTCACTCAGTTCATGCCGTACATACGCATGAAATTCTTCATAAAATGACATTAAATCATTCATAACGTGCTTCATATTGTCAATTATGCTTGTATCACCACCATAATAATTATATAAAAATTCAACAGGTGTCACACCTAAAATTCGCAAATTAAAAATGAGGATACAGCGGAGTACAACGGAATTAAAACATACCTGTTTCTACAGCAGCCTGTTTATATAAATCAATAAATTTTGGGAATTGTGGTCTTGATTTTTTTTCAATTTCTTCCCGCCATTGTGTCCAATAATATAATAATTGTTCGGAATTATATGAATTACTTGCAATCATTTGCTTAATGTCTGGTATATATGCGAGATCACAATTATGAAAATTATTATATTCACATAAACCTCGCCGAATTGCTGGCATCATCATTGTATCCAAAATTTGCATTAGATTATTATATTCATCACCGCCCAGTATATATAAATAAGATGATTTCTGTAGATTTAGAAGGGCTGATTTTAATTCGGGATCTTTAACGTCACCCAAATTAAATGTTTGCGCTTCTTTTGTTAATGAAGCAATTTCATCAATAGTTCTTCCAATTACATCTAGATCACCCAGATATTCATATTGATGTTTATTAAATGTTAGACGATGAATTTCTTCATATAATAGAAACATTTTATTATTAACCCGATTAATATATGATCGAACCGAAGCTGTAACATCTCCGTCACCCCACACTTTTGATTTCTAAAAAATAATACATATACTTTATTTAATTGTAGTTAAACATAAACCTGCTTTCGCCATACCATATGAGAGCAAACAAGTACGCCTAATAAAACGGAATAAAGCAATTTGAACATTTTTGCATTTATATTATATAGAAAGAACTCAATATTTCAATTAAACCGTGACGCTTTGAACGAATCGAACAATCCTTAAAGAATGTGGAAGAAAAACTAAGAAGCTTATTTGATTTTGGTGTGGGCTTTTTGTAATCTTAAAAGCTAATAATTTGAGTATCAACAAATTTTTTTCTATATAGCATAACCAACTTATCTTTTTAGTTGGTTTCATATGTTTATTATTTTTCATTATAATTATTTTACTTTTTGCTCCTTCATTCCAAATGTTCTCATATCAAAAAATATTTATGTATGTATGCATATATTTTGGTTAGAACTTTTTATTTTCAAGATTTGCCTTGAAATTTGATTAAAAATTTAGAAACAAAAACGGTTTCAAGTAAAACGAGTTCACATTTTCGACTCTATGGTAACCTTACAAATTATTGGTTCTATGAGTCTTATAAGAATTTTTATAGCGTTATGACCACACCCAATAACATTTTCTTTTTGGAACAGTTTTTATTTTTTAATTTAGTTTTTAAATGCACGGACATAGGTCAATCAATTCATGGGTTAGTTTCAGAGTGCGACCAATAGAGTGTGGAATTTAAAAACCCTGCACACGTTTTACATTTTAATCAAATTTATCCAAATATAACAAGCGTTTCCGATTTCAACACCTATCCGATTTGAGATACATATGTATGTCCATAATATGACAGTTAGTGATAGAACTTTAAACAATTAATTTGTAATGCAAAGTTAATTACAGTAACAAAGTGTTTCAACCAATGATTAATTTATATTAACAGTCAACTATAGTTTAATTAAAAATAAAATTTAATTTGGAAGAGATAACATTTGGTTTTGACCTTGAATAAGAAATTAACCATGAGACAAAAGCATTTTTAAAGCTCTAAAAAATTCAGATAACGAAAAAAAATTTTTAAATTTTGAATTAAATTTGTTTTAGTCTTAGTTAACATTGAGAATCAGTACAGAATGTTATCAAATTACGGAAATTTTTTGGTCTTCATTTGTTGCATGTTTTTGCTGCATACGGTAAGATATAATCTATAAAAATGAATTAGTTTTTAGTGACAAGCTTACGTTTTTTTAAGTGTGCACAAGAAGAATCGCCAGTAGAAAGAGAGATACGAGAATATGTAGTCACCTTAGATAAACAAATGTTTCCCCTTTATGAAACAATTCATGCTTTGACCTTTGGAAAAGGTATAGGTCAATATGATGAAAAGTTAAGTCTTTTATCCAGTATGGGTAAGTTTAATTAATTTTAAACAGAATATAATAATTTTTTATTACAATTAAAATGTATTTATTAAAGAAATATAAGCGACTTAAAGATAAAATGACTGGATTTTCTGAATAAGCGGAAATCTATTTCGATACCATAAAAAAGATGGTGTAATAATACCACAAAGATGGGCTTATGAAAGACCATCTTTGCCAAATTTTTTTTGATTCTAATAGTTATTATATTTTTAATTATAGTGAATACTTTTCTACACACGCATACATACATATAACTCAAATTTTATATTTATGTTTACTTTAACAGCCGATGCCGTTGCTGCTCAGACAAAAGAAGCTCAACTATTTGATCCAAGACAGATCGAAAACAAAAATTTACGTATACGTATCAAAAATATTCGTAGATCAGCATATTTGTACATATTGGGTGCAGATTATTTTAACAAATTTGAAAAATTGGTGACTGCGATGATGGAAACAGCGTTATCACCAATTATGTGCGACTATGCGACGAGGACAAAATGTGATTTAGTTTATTTGGCTGATGTTCGTAATGTAATGAATAATCGAAATAATTCAGAAGAACTTAAATACTATTGGGAAGAATATCGAAGGAAGAATGACAATATTGGTCATTACGTGTTTCCAGAATTTGTTGACCTTTGGGTAAAAGCAGCAAATGATACGCGTAAGTTAAGTTTTTTTCCATATCAACATTGTCAGCTTACTTGTGGTAATGTTGTCACTGCAATAATAAAATCTCTAAATGAGAATTTTATTTATTCATTCTGTAATGTGATATTTCCTAATTATTCATAACATTTTTTTGAATTCTCCTCTTTTTCCACAAAACTCCGGCAAGGTTTGGTTGATTCTCCAGTAAGTCTACCTTTCATGAAGATATTACAGGATGGCTTCCGACTGCAGTCGACCATTCTATACTATGTATTTTTTAGTAGATTCTTTAGAATATTCTTGAAACAGCACTTTAAGTTTACCTGCAAGCGATTTTAAACCAACCTTTCTACAGCACGTCTTTCCAAGATCCATATATTATTAGTTTTAAATTTAATACTTTGCAAACTTATCAAATATAAAATTATAATTTTTAGGTGAAACTCCTGTTGAATTTCTCTATAATTCATATGCGGATGGTACCATGAGTACAAACATACAAATAGTAATGGATGAACTTATGCCATTTTATAAGGAATTTCATGCACATGTTCGTCATAAATTGAATAAAAAATATGGTGACAATGTTGTCTTTAAAACTGGATTAATTCCTCATCATCTCTTTGAAATTTTAACTTTACAAGCCTGGAAGAAAGAAAGTCCACTTGAACATGCATATCCAGAAAAAAGATTACCAAATATTTTAGCAGGCATGGAAAAAGAAGGTTTAGATGCCGACAAAATCGTTCAAATCGCTGAAGATTATTACAAATCGATGGGATTTGAACCCCTTTCAGAAAAAATTAAAACAAACTTTCAAAAATTACCGGGTAAAAAGAGCGCTAGTGTAGAATGTAGAGGTCAAGTTTATGATCAAACACCTAATGTTCGAATGGAATATTGCCCACAAGTTCATTTTAAGAAGTTTTTGCAAATGCATGGTTACCTCGGAAGAGTTCATTATGGCTATGAAAAACGTGATTTACCATTTTCTATGTTCAATTCATATAATTTTGAAGATGCTGTTGGTGAAGCAATCATACTTTCAGCGTCATGTCCCGAAAACATTGTCAAACAAGGATTTGTGTCGGAAACAACATATACAAAAGAGTTGGATATGAATCGTCTATTTAGAATGGTAACATTTTAATTCAAAAATTGTATAAAAAATATGTGTACGCAGTAACATAACTAATCGTAGGGAGTTCACACTATGTTCAATATACCGGTTTATTATGTTCATGTTAAATTATTTGAGGATCTATTAAATGGAGTCACTAATTTTGATGATATTAATATTCATTATTGGAATTTAATGGAAAAATATGCTGGAGTGGAACCACCATTTGACAGAAATTATACTTCATTCGACTTACCTGTTAAATTTTATGAAGATATTCAGTTGAATCGTTTAGTTACGTAAGCATCGTATTGTATTATAGTTTTTTTATTTTGACAAGTTTACAAAATTTTAAAAATCTTGTAGAAAATTCGTTTCTGAAATACTTGGTTATCAAATTTATGATTCACTTTGTAAAATAGCCAATAAATATGGAGAAAATGCGGAAACTGCTGATGATTTACATAATTGTAATTTGGAAGGTAGTGTTATCGTTGGACAAGTTTTACATGAAATGATGTCAAAAGGATCTAAAAAACCTTGGCGTAAAATATTAGAAATTGTAACTGGAAATGATCAGGGCATATCAAGTGTTGGTGTTCTAAACTATTACAAACCTTTAAGAGAATGGCTACAGAGGGATCTTCAATCAAATGGAATCATTCCTGGTTGGGATAAATCAAATAGAGGTAAAAGTCTATAGTAAAGGTCAAAAAGTAAATAAATCCTAAACATTTTCTATTAAATTTTTAGTATTGGATGGCAACAGAAATAGTCCAGGATTATTATTTAGAAGTTATGATTTGCCAACAATTCGATTTAACCACACAAGTTCATTTAATCATGCTAACGCAGTATAATTCTCAAACTTTTTGTAAATATGGCAATTTTTAAATAGAATTTAAAATAAAATTCCTTAAATTAATCAAGGGTTTAACTCACTGTTTTAACAATCAATGACCTATTTGCAAAAAGAATTATAAAGCTGAATTTTGATTTCAATCAATCTAAAATTTAATTTGGAGATCTTTCGAAAATTATTAAACTTTAGCTTCTCAATTCCATTAACATAAATTCATTTGTTACAGCAAAATTTTGTAAGTATTTTTAATAGGTAAGGTTAGCAAAATTTCTTTAAGAAGTCCCAGATAAAGTAAAAAATTACTTAATTTGAAAGAAAATTCATAATAAACAATAACGTGTATTGCATACAATAAATCTAAATATAAACTGGACAGGGATGCTCAACCAACCAAAACACTGCGATTCATGTAGATCATTGTGTATTAAATTATTTATTCGAAAATTAAAAATGAATTGATTTTAATAATTTGTAAGAGAACCATTTGGAAACAATTGAGCTTAAACATAAAATCAATTTTGAAGAAAGTTTAACGGTATACATTTTTACACCTGATTAATCCGTTATTTTTAATATCCCAACACTAATCGATTTTTTTCGGTTTCGTGAAAGACCTTATGTTTTCACATATAAAAGTTTTAAATACAATTGAACCAATGAACCCAGTTATCGAAAACCCAAACTTTAAATTTCTGATAAGATTCCGTAAGGAAGTTTGATTTATCGTCTTTTTCATTAGATGGCCCGTAAATTTTACAATTTCAGTCAACAATTTTTGTTGTGCATACACATGCATACATAGGAATCATAATTGTTGACCTCTGGGTTAAATTGATTCAATACAATTTAGAAAAAGAAATGAACCTTATTTTCAATTAATAAATTTCAATTTTAAATACAAGAAAAATTTTGATTCAATTAGTTGATAAATGTTTGCTTTTGAGTGAGTTTAAAATACAAAAACGGTACAAAATATAAAATTTATTTATTTAAAATGATTTCTAGCACAAAATTTTTCTTATTTTGTTTAATAATAATTGTAAGCTGGAATTTTGATCTTAAACAAAAATAAAAAACCATAATAATATTGAAATTTTTAAATTAATTTTCAAGTGCCTTAAAGGAAACGTTCAACTTTTACAAATTAAAACAACTAATTATCAAAATCAATCGGATTTAATTGATTCCAGTTCGGTAACTTCTTCAGATGATAATCATTTATTAGAAAGCGAATTAAAAAATGCTAATATAGCGTTAGAAAAGAATAATATTTGGTTGGCAAAATTAAGAGGGAAAAATCTCGATGATATTCCATTATTAAGTACAATAACATTAAAGTATGAAATTAAGGATATTATAAAATTTATGAAAAGTGTAAAAGATAATTTAAGAAAGAATTTTACAAAAATTGTATCATCATCATCATTAAACCAGAATTTAATAAGGCAATATGAATTTATTGCAAAACTAGATTACAATGTTTTGCCATTATTAGAAACTTTTTTAATAAATGACATTTTAGAACAAAATAAAATTGAAATGAATTTTTGTAGTTTTAACCATTCTGACAGTAATTGTACTTTAAATGGAAAAGATTTATTTAACATAATTACGGCGAGCGACGATGTAGAAATATTAAATTTTTATTTCGTGCAATTCATGGAAAAACTTGGAAAAAATAAAATGGAAAAATATACAGAGTTTTTGAAACTTTTTAACAACGCAGCTAAATTAAATGGTAAATATGAGTTCTTGGTTTTTTAATCTTGGTTTTGGAATCATAAAATTAATTTTAAGCAATACAATCGAATTATATTTGATATTACGATTAACGTAGTAATTTATTCTTATTTATAAATTACAAGTTACTATATAAATTGTAAACAATTTGATAGCAATTTTCTTGAAATGTATAATAGTAATTCAGAACATGAGCAGAAGTCATAGTGTAAAATATTAATTCTTCCATTGATTATTTCAAATATTTTAGTATTTTGGGTATAATTGCACAAAATGTGTTAAGATAAAATCTATTTAAGATTGTAATTTTAAAATTCTACATTATTTACTCATTTTGTTTCATTCCATTTTAATTAATATGAAAAGGTTTCGAGAATGCCAATGAAATGTTAAAATTTCCCTATGAATTGAACAAAAAAGTAAATGGCAGCAATAATTATATTGATGACATATTAAAATCAATTATGGATGAAATTAAACCATTTCACCGTCAATTGTACGCCTATATACGCCATCACTTACAGAAAAAATTCAACACAGTCAATGAAACTTTAATAAGATACGATGGACCAATACCAGATTATTTACATCAGAAATTAATTGCAAATACTTATGCAGATGATTTACAATTTTTTGAATTTAAACCGGTAAATGAATATGATTCTTTACGATATAAAAATGCAACAAAAATGTTGGCAGATATTAAATCAAAGTATCAAAGTTTCGGATTCGAAATTGGGTACGAATATTTGAAAATTTCAGTTTTACAATTTTGAATTTTTTAAAATTGCAATAATTTTTATTTTAATTTAAGAAAAATGCCGCTTTCCGTGATTATTGGTGAAAATTGGTCACATCCAAAATTCGATGATTCTTATGGCAGAAAGGAACTAAAATTGAATATTGGGTTAAACGCGACCGAAAATCAATTCTATGAAACATTTTTAGAATATTTTAAATATTTGGAATTCACCTATGGATACTCCCAGCCATGGATATTTAGAAAATTACTTCCAAGAGCTTTTAGCACTAGTATAGCAAATGCTTTAAAACATTCTTTGGAAAATATAACATTAAATGATGTTGATACATCAAGCATAAATATATCTAATTTAAATCGATTTATTACTAAGGTTTTTTAAATTTTTATGTTTGATTGGGTGTCGTCAGGAAATGAAACGCTCTAAGACATAACGCCGTAAATATTATCGACGCGAGTTTCGCTGAACAAATCATCATAAAAATTATATTTGTTAAAGTGGGAGATGGTATATATATGAATTAGCTCCCACTTAAAGTGAATAAATAAATTTAAAATGGTTAATTTCGGATTGGACGCACCCACTATAAATTTTTTCATATATAAATTTTTTACAATTTTACATACCTTAAAATTTTCAGGCAATTCAAAATATTTTTGGCATTCAATCTAAATATGTCACAAGCCAAACAATTAAATGTTTGCAAACAAGAGAATTAAAGAATGAAACTTGTGAATTTTGGTCTAAAAAACTAGAGTTTCAAGGCATTTCAACAAATAGAATTGATAGTAATTCAGAAGTATTGGCATGGAAGTTGAATGCATGGAACGAAGATGATTATGGGTAATTATTACTCTTTAGGAGAACCTCTTTTACGAATCTTTTACAAACAGTTTCTTCTCTTTTTAGTGACATAATATCAATTATTTTAGGTTTTCAAATATATGAAGGTCTTTGTGAAAAGATTGATATAAAGATCGATAATCTTTCTAATTGTGATTTTTCTGGAAGAACAAAAATTGGTCAAACAATTAAGCACGTTTATTTATTTTTCAAAGAACACAATTTTTATTAAATGTTTAAAATAAATTTTTATATTGTTTTTTAGGAAAATTTTTATGGAAGGGTCATCGATCTCATGGAAAGAGCAAATTAAGAATTTACTTCCAAAAGATCAGCAAAATAATGAAGCAATACTGTCAGCTAAATCAATGTTAAAATATTTTCAACCACTTTATGAATGGTTAGAAGAATACAATAAGATAAATAATGTGGAAATCGAATGGAATTTTTAAGTCTTGCACATGCCTAAGTTTTTCTCTCACGTATTTTAGTTTTTATTTTTATTTATTTTGCAATAGTTTTTTGTAATTTTTTTTATTGTATGTAAGTATTTAATTTTATTAAATTTCAAAATCATTCTTCTAATTTTAAATATTTTTAAATTAAGATATTTTTATGATTAAACAAGCTCTTACTAAAAAATTTTGACTTGGACGTCATACTCGTATAACATCGATAGCTGTTTGGTTAAAGGTTTCGGTCTACAGCATTGAAATTTGAAAAAGAACAAAGTAGTTTATAGATTGCTTAAGTGCTTCTGGTAATCGGTATACAAAAAGATTTAAAGAAATAGCTTATTCTATCGGGAAATTAGCTAAGTAAAATAATGCTGGAAAAGCTAAAAAAAGTTCCAAAAAATAAGAATATTAAAATTTTATTTTTCTTTCGGCAATTTTCAAATAGTTTTCATATTTTCAAATAGCTAGAGCTCTTAAACTTAAGTTTGTTTTGTTACAAACTATTATTTTATTTTTGTTCGAACTCGTTTTTTCCCCCACTTCAATTTAATGATTTCCAAATCCATTTTTTTTGAGGTCGTATTAAACAGAAAAAAACAACGCCATTTAAAAGTCCTTCATGCCTCTTAATTTTTTCTCTAAAAAGAGAGGGTCTTTTGCTTAAAAATTTTCATACTTAATAATGGTTAAGAAAGAGTTCATTTCTTTTTTATTTTTTATTACTATTATTTTTAACTTTGTGTTCATTTATACTTTTCCATTTTTTTCTACTTTTATTAATATTTTGTACAAATTTTCCTAATTTTCTTTCATTTTGGTTATTTTTTTTTACACTCACGTCACATTATATGAATCGTTAAACAAGATTACAAATTACTTTCGGAAAATTTACAAAAGGAATAAAAGTATACAAAAAAGAAGAAAATAAATAAAATATACCAAAAATCTAAAATGAAATTTCGAGTTGGCATACACAAATAATCATACAGGGCATTGCTTTACATTCATTGTTACTTCTTTACCTAAATTATTTACATGCATACTCGTATATGGATAAACATAACGAATAGCTACACAAGTTGAATTTAAAGGATTTTGACCTTCCCACACAGTTGGAAATTTTGATTTTTTTTTCATATTTTTTTCCTTTTTTTTTTTCTTTCAAATAAACCAGCAGCTGTTAAACACTTGTAATAGGTTTTAAATGTAAATAAATATTTTCCTATTTTTTTTTAAAGGTTTTTCTTTCTCTTAGAAACTTTCATGATGCATTTAGAAAAAAATTTAATTAGCATAATATTTTAGAAATATCACATTTGAGATTTCTTTCTCATATTAACTGGGAATTTTCTCCAGAGTGAGTAATTTTTTTCATTAAAATTGTATATGAAGCCTTCTAAATTATTTTAGACTAGATCAGAAAAATTTTTTAAATTTGTAGATGTTGTAAAATTTCCTTGGACTTCACTAAATGTACTATACTTGTACATTTGGAAAAAAAGGAAACATTATAGAAAAAAAATCTTCTTATTTGAAGATTACATTGTAAAAATGCAATCTTCTTAGACGGTGAATGAAAGAGTTGATACATTATTTGAAATAAGGCCCATAATTTCGTTCAAAGTAATTAGGGCCCTGCCAGTTTTTTTATAGAAAATTACTGAAGTGCATGGTATTTAACATTTTTACCGATGTGTATTAGTGGAATAACATATATCATTCCATTGCAATAACGTTTTAGGCTTCTACAATATATTTATCATAGAATAAAAACCGCAAGATGAATCACAGATCATCAAATACAAAGATGAATTTTAATCTTCATAGAGTATCATTTGTAAAATAAAATTTATAGGCCTGTATACAAATATTTTATGATGTTGAAAAAAATTCATCATTTTCAACCAAATTCTAACACATTTTTATAACTTGACCTTTTCAATTTGAGAACATAAAATAAAAAATAACAAAAAACAAAACTTGTATATGGGAATCAAATTGTAAGAAATATTTTTTGTCCTTCTATGTCCTTATTCAAAATGTAAATGTTATTATTCTCTGTAGTTAAAAAATATTTTCACTTTTACAATAAATCTGATTTAGTTAACCACATATGTTACAGCATTTTCCAAAAGATAAAATATATTTGTATGTACATACTTTTATGATTTTTAACGGTTTAATCATATGACCGCATTGCAGATAAAAAAAACCGAAATTTTCAATGTGTTTGAACTTGCAAATGTAAGTTCACAAATGTACAAGCATAGTGTTTGTGTGTATATAATATGGATAAGTAAGTATAAATTAACATTTTTTTGTTGTAGCTATAAGTATTTCTTAGTCTCTAAATAAATTTTGAAAACATACAAAACGTCCAATAATTTCAATGCGACTTACAGTATATTGCCTGGCACGATTGTAAAGAACAGCGGCGAAAATTGGGCCACCTTGTTTGACTCCTGATTGCATCGCGCTTAATTGTGTTGGAAACCTTCTAGAAGTCGATGAAGGGCATGTGGTGTTCTATATTTGGCAGTCTATTGAGTGCTCGAATATTATTCAAAGTGTGTTCACTTGAACGACACAATTCCGATGTGTCTGGAATCTAGCCCGTCCTTCACGTTTTGTATCTTTTAATTTTGTTCTTAACCAATAATGGATAATTGTTGGCAACACCTTGTATGCTATATTTAGTAGGGAAATGCCTAAATCAAATCGAATTTAAAATTTGATTCAAATCATATTTAACATATTTTTGGTATGTCCTTGAATAATGATTATTATTCTACAGGACATTTTATGAGTTTTATCCTATTGTTATTTTATTCAATTTCTTCCATACTTGTATAAAACAATTTCATATTGAATTTAAAAATATAATTTCACTTTATTTTAATTACAAAATACAGAAGTGATCACAGTTTATTTTCGAGTAGTAAAATTCGATATAAAATTGATTTAATCGGCTAATATACAAGATTTTGTATAAATACTTGATATAGTTATATATATTACAAAATATTGTTAGATACATTCATTTCAGATTTTAATAGTTTACTAAATCTTCCTACTTACTTTGATGGATTCTAATTTTATTCTAGTCGTAAAAATTAATTTTTCATTGCAACGTTCATTTATTACATTCTAATATCTTAAAATTTAATTTGAACTATACAATAATTTGTACTATGTACGTATACAAACTCTTGCTAAGAAATAAGAATTAAATTTTAAAGAAAAGCAATATGAAAGTTTCCCACTATGTTGTATTGTAGAATAGGACGTAATATTACAAAAACTTTTTAAATTATTTTTCAAAATTTATAATTTTTAATGCGGTTTCATTTATTAATCCCGTCTAGCCATTTTAAAGTCAATTTTTGGAAACACATCAAATAAAGCGTTACCTTCCCAATAGCTTCCCAATGCGATTTGTGAATTAATTTTTTTGTCGATTTAAAAATTTTTTAACAGACTCGTATCTTTGTACTTTTCACCCTTATAGGAGTAATGGTAGGCAGTTTCTTTGGTATAAAAAGTAATTTTATTCAACTGCATTCTTTCAAAAATTACACTTAATTGTTAACAAACATCATCTAAACAACCGGCTATATGCCAAGTATTTACAGAAATTTATAAAATAAACAGAAAATAAAATTTCTCATATAATAAAACTCTTCATTCTTGAATAACCCTTACATAACTTTTAAAAAAATTTTTGTTTGCTCACTTATTTCGATGTTCATTTTTTTTACATCGTTTAACTTTTACTTTTTTTGCGTCAGGAAGGAAAACCCACTTAAGTGAATCCAGAATAAAATACTTTTCTTTTCATAAACTTTTAAAATTTTTGTTTTAAATAAAAATATTTTCCATTTTTTTTTTTTTGAAACAATAATAAAAATAAAGTGTCGAAAAATATAAGAGCATCGACAATTTTCTCTCTTAATGCTCAATAAACTTGAAATCGAACAAAACTAATGCAATAGACTCCTTGCAAACCAAATTTTTAATCATCGTTCCTTGCCCAGAAATTCACGTTCAAAGAAATTAACAAATAAAAAAATATTAAACTACATACATATTGTTGCGTTCTTAACAAAAAAACAAGTTGTTATTAAAATTCATTGTTGAGCACTTCATTAAAATTAAGAAAAAAACTCGTGTGCAATGTTTATTGCACTAAATTCAATGCTATTTTAAATTTCTTAATTTCAGTTATTTTTACCACCTCCACTTACTTTTATGGTCCTACATTAAAAGATGAATTCAACAATCAACTGAAATAACTTTACGTGTGCAATGGAAATCCCACATAATTTCATGATTTTATCCATTGTTAACTTAAACTGGTATCAATTTTTATATTTTTAAAAAGTTTTCTATATAGCTGAAACGTGCAAACAGTTATTGTGGGAATTGCATTATTTGCTTGTCTAGAATTTCATTATTTTATAATCGATATTGATATTGTGTTCCATAAAATTTTTTATTATAATGATTTTATCAAATAGTGAAGGTAAACATTTCTTTTTCGGTCATAATTTTGTAAATGTAATTTTACTGCACAGAAATGTTTTGCATACAATACGATAAAATTTAGGGAGACGAAGTGCAAGTTGATCTTTTGTTTGTTGTGCTATTTTCAAAGTGAACGAATAATTAATATTAATATACTACCTTAATTTTCCATGAAAGTTTTTGAAGATGTCAGAGACAGCTTTAGTTGGACTTGTGATTGCAGAATGAAAATTGAAAGGAGAAATTTTGAGTTTCGTTTCAACTTTAGCTGAAATCTGCATTTGAAAAATCGAACCAAAACATCTTAGATAAATCAAGCCTCTTTTCTTAGTACTTCTTTTCTGCAGTTTTATTTAATGCCACTTTCTTCAGTGGTGGCTGGCTACTGTAAAGTTTTCAATCCAGTTTTTGTAGCCAAATTAAAAAAAATCGAAATTCTTGAATTAAAATTGCATTTTCTGAAATGAATAAAACTAGATGTTATCATTACTTTTATTATATTAAATAAAAGTTATTTTTTATACACTAATGAAATTCAACAAACTGCTTGAATTATAATTTTAAAAATCATCATTTTATAACAATAAATCTTAAATCGTGATTGTACATATAAACATGACTTTAAATCTTAACTGTAAATAATTTTGAGGAATATTTTGAATAAGAAAACCCATTAAGAATATTTTTGGAATATTTCCAAAAAAAAAAAATTTGTAATATATTTTTGTGCAAGTTTAAGGACAACAAGAGATTAAAAAAATACTGACAATCATTTATACAATATCCAAACATACAACATACACTAAAACATATACATATAAATTTTATTTTCATTTATAAGCAAGACGATGAATTTTTGAAATTGAAATTGTAAAATTTATTCTTATCTCATTTTTCCTTATTGGCCGGCTGGGATATTTTTGTGAATGAACGTGTAATTGGAAATTATTAAAGATTTCAGAAAACTATTGAAAAAAAAATTAAAGAATTTAATACAGACCAAAGCATCAGAGGTGGAAGACTTTAACATAGTAAATGATTTCGTATGTAGAAATTTATTTTGTTTTATTATGGATAAATTGTACTAAATTTTACTAACCCGAGTTCTATTATCTACATTTTCTTTTGTGTGAAATTTTAACGATGTAGCTTGGATTGAAAGTATTTGGCAAAATTTATAATTGTGGCACTAATTTTAACTTAACATTATGTATTACAGACGCACATATATAGGGACAAACAGGTGGAAGCAATATTAAAAGGACTCGACAAGCAAGAACATCAGCAAGTTATACAATATACATATACATATATAGCGGGATATTACAAAAATCCTAAAAATTATGATATTGTCACATCACTATCTTAAAATTATTTTAAATTGCAATAATGTAATTTAAAATTGCATAACTACAGTAATGAGCCTGCAATTTACAAATTTCATATGTACATACCTCAGTAAGCAAACATTATTTTGACTTTAATCGATAACATTCTTAAATATACATACACTTGAATGTATATTAGTATTTATTGTAAATGATTGTAAAAAAAACGAGTAGACACAAGTATAATTAAAAATTATGAACTTATATTCGTTTCCTGTTATGTGCCTAACGTTTCAATTCTTAATATGATCTTAAACATCTCACAGATTCAAAATGGGGTGGGAGAGTAGTTTTAATCAAATAGTAAAAATATTTAGACAGCATGAAATATATTCTTATGGGAATCTTTCTCTTTAATAATATTTTTTTTCCACATTCAATTTACAAACTACAATTATTGTTGGGTAACAATTGAGGTTAATTAAAAGTCTGAAAGATAAAACTTACATAAGATAAACAATAACAAAGGTTTTGTATTTTAAATTGAAAATCTTCTCAGCTCATGAGAGAGGCTTTTTTATGCATTATTTTATAAGCTATTATTTTGTATAGAATGCGGTATACTGTTCTTCGTTCTACGAAGTAGATTTTGCTTGTTTGAGAAAAGCAAACAAAAGAATTAAATACAATGTAATTATGGTAGTGAAACTTTAATTTGGAAACATACTGATAAAATAAGAGAATATCAAGGAACCGGCGTTTTTCTTTTTCTTGTAGAGAGCAGTAGTGCTATTATTGAAATGAAACGCTCACGCCTTGTTGATTCCAGGGTGGCGGGTAGGTCTCGATAGATTTAATATTGCTGGGCACGATAGAATAGAGATTAACGAGCCCACGTTCTAACAAAGAGCGAGACCAGCATTTCTATCTGAAAACCGATATTTATCTCTAAATTTGAAACTCAAGAAAGAGATTTAAATGACAAGATCGCGCTTAACGAAAAAACATAACAAGATGAGAAAATAGTAAAACTTGATAAGGACCAAGTGGAAAATACTCATGGAAAATGTCTACCCAGAGAGGGTCATTTGAGGTTTCCTTTTTTATCTGGGTTCAACTGCAATATGGTCTAAATATTATATAAAATATCTTGAGTTTCTTTTGATAAATTTCATATATGTACAAGAGTAAGTTCCTTGAGATCGTTCATAATTTTGAATTAATTTTCTTCCAAGTGCACAAAAACAAGAAAACAAACCATAAAAGATAACAAAAATATTTTTGTTTTCTTTCATTCTCACCATATACCTACTCACATTTTCTTTATGTGTGTTAGGACAAAAATAAATATGGAATCTATTTATTTTCCTTGAAAATATGTTTTATAATTTAGAAAGGATACTAAGCCTAAAAGGATTCATTTGAATTTCAGAAAAAGATAAATAAGAAATTTTTTGCAAATTTCTAATTTATATAAGGCTTTTTTTTTACAAAAATAACATAAAATCTATAATTACATTTAAAATTTTATTTTGTTTTCAAGCAGAAAAGAATGAGTTTACATAGGTTTTAGATTTTTTTAATATTAGGAAACATTTTGTGTTCGTATGTCCTTGTTTGCTCTTGTTATTTTAAAGAGGAATCGTTATTTTTATTTTAATAATCATAAAATTTAATGAGTTCGTAAATTCATTGTTGTTTAATTTTCTATAATTTTCAATAATTAATTTATTTTGAACTAAATTTAGTAATCAACTTTTATAAAAAAAAAAACAAATTAAATTTTATTTATAATGAAAAACAAATTTGAGTGAATCACCAGAACTTAAGAGAAGAAAATTCTTTATACATATGTATATCGGAAATTATGTCAATGTTGTCATCATCACCTTGAAAATTATGGAACAATAAGTGGTAATTAGACTGTGCATTCAAAAACTTCAAAATCTTTTTTTTTCCTAGAAAGCTCTATATGAAATATTGCAAAGTTTATGAGTTGCAAGTTGGTATACCATAAATATTTTTGACAATGATAATTATAAACAAGCTGATTATTTTTTGTCGTAATTTTGTTTAAATTTTCACATTACAATCACTTTATTAAATTAATTATATTTTTTAGTAAACTAACATAACCTTAAAACGGAATAAAGCTATAATATTTCCTATATATCATTTTGCAATACACATAAATCGTTGTATTTGTATTACAAGCAACCATTAGAATAGTTTTAGACTTCTTCTTCACACACTAAAAAAAAATTTTATTGTTAAGACAAAAATAAAAATATTTTTTATTCGGAACGTACTGTAGGAATCATTCCATCCAGTTTCGACTTCATTTTGTTCATTTTGTTCTTTAACCCAAACATAAAGTGGGTAATAATATTCTAAAATAGCATTAGCGCTAATTTCTCTTTCACCTGTCAAATTTTCCAAAACATCCCGCCAATTTTTCTTTGATCCAAGATGCATAGCTTCTCTAAAAATGCAATTAAATAAAATAATTGAAATCCATTAATGTTTTTATTTAAAATTTTTACTCCAAATATTTTCCAGATTTGTTACTATCAGAAAAATCACAGTTATGTAATGGATATTTTGGATCACCTGGTACATAGTGACCACTTTCAATACAAAGTGCTCTATTAATTTGATACCCCATTAATTCAGAAACAAGTTTACTAAAAATAAAAAATATTTGCAATTTGTAATTGAATTTGGCTTTGGCTGAAAATATTCTAATCCTAAGAAGACTGAAGAATATTCCAAAGTTTATTGTCTCGCTCCACAGTTCTCATAATTACATTACTGTTTTATCTTCATTTCATTTATTAATTAGATTCAAGCGAAATCATTGAAAAATTCACTTACATTGTAACAGCTTTACTTGGATCAATACCATCAAAAAATTTATAACTAACATCAAAATTGAGGTTAGTTCTTTCTACTGGTGCCGAAACTCCAGCATATTCCTCTTGAATATCCCAATATTTGCAATTCATTTTCTCAGGTTTAATTTTTCCATCTAACATCATAACCCAAAATTTTTCGTTTACAAAATGCTGCATTACACCAAATATGGTATGTACACCCTAAAAGAATACACATATATTTTTTATTTAATTTTAAATTTTTAATTATTATAAAACCATATGTGTACATTGAGTCATGGTCATACCATTCTAAACAATCTATTCATTGAAAGCTCTGTAGTTAAACTATCATTTCCAATTAAACCTATTCTGTTTAAATAGCGTGGACATCCAGCTGAAATAACAGCTGCTTCACTTATTGCTTTTCCGAAACCGGGACATGCTTCTCTATCTAAACCGAATGGTAACTGTCCCCGTCTATAATTATAATGTAATTCACCCATTTGACCATGCATTTGTAAAAAGTATTTATATGTAATTTTTGGGCAATATTTAAGTGCAACTTCCGGTGGATAATAAAGAATGTCAGCTTTGCATTCACCTTGATATTCATCTTCTGATATCATTCGGGCATATTTTTCCCACAAAGAACTAAAATATAGAAAGCAATATAAAAAAATTGGATTTATCTGGAAGATAAATTGGATTTATTTTCGATTGGAAGAAAAAGTAAAAAAACTAATTCAACATACTCTGGCAAATTTTGCATGTCTAAAGACTTGTAAAATTCTTCAGTTACCTCATTTATAGTTTTTGAGGTATACTTTTGTTGATCTAATTTTATTTTAATATTTGGTAAATGTAATTTTGGAAATGGTACTTCAAAAACACTAACAGATCTCCAAGAATGTTCAATAACTTGTTCCATTAAATGTTGAGGTATAGGTTTATTGGGTTTGAGACGTACACCCGGATATTTTTTTATTAAATTATAACGAACATAAGCATGAAGTTCTTTGTATAATGGTTCAATTTGTTTAATAGCATGTTCTAATTCCATAAGAAAATTCGGCGTCTCATAATACAAATACCAAGTTCTAGATGGTGTTATATGTCCTAAAAAGTAAGATGTTTATTAAATTTTTTATTAAAAACAAAAGGCAGTATTACCATTCAGATGAGCTGTTTGCCGAAAATAATCTGTGTAATTTAGAAAGTATTCTCTTGCTACAGGTCCTATAGTATCACGCCATTCTTTCCAGTAGTATGATAATTTTTGTGGAATTTTAGACATTAAAATAACTTCTTTGATTTTTGGAACATATGCAACATTATCACGATCAGTGCAAACTTTTGCTTCATATGAACATACATTTTTTATTGTTGCAAACTGTTTCATAACTCTAAGAAGCGTCATAACCTTGTCATAATGTTGTTTCGGTAAACCTTCTAATTGAAGTTTACATAATAATTTACAACGTCTTTTCAATGTTTCATTTTTAAAGGAACTTATACGAAATGAACTTAATTTATTCGATAAATCAATTAAAAATTCTCTATAATTGGCCATCGTTTCCTGCAATACTGGTCCAGTATTGATTTGGCTATATTTTTGATGTGAAGAATCGAAAATTTCACGTAATTTCTCATAATGATCATTCATATAAATTTCTGCATTTAATAGTATTTGTTCTGCTTCAGTTTCATTTGTTTTGAATAATTCAATGAAATTTTTATCAACTTCGCTTTCTTGTTTTGCCGTTTTTGTTGTCTTTCCTGCTGATGTTGTTGTTGAGTTATTGCGCAATTTTTTATTTACATTAATATTATTTTCATTTCTTATGTCGTCACTACATCTAGTATTTGTAATGAACTGTACTAATCAATGAAAAAAAAATATTTTTTGTTTTTATGACCTTCGTGAAATAGAGTGCAATAATTTATAGGTTGCTGATAAGATTATGGAAGATTTTACATAAAATTCTTTGACCGTATTTATCTTACAAGATTTTTGACAAATAAAACCAAAAATCCTTAACGTGTATGTTTTAAGTTCTGTCATTTACGTTTCATCTTCGCGTAAATAAAAAATTCTAACCCATTTTTATATTTAAAACATTATGGAAAAAGGTAGTCTGTCTCCAAAAACGTACTGAACCAATAAGGATTTTCTAAAAGTGAAAATTATACACTTAGTTCACCTGGAACTTTTGTATTCTTTTAAAATCAACTCTATTTGTAACTGTAAACAAATAATATTAAAAATAATTTTTTTTTATAAATCTCTAGGGCAATGTGAAAAAATCTTCAAAATTTCAGGAAATATATACAAAATATTTAATCAGCAACCTAACATAGTTCAATAAAAAAAAAACTTCTTATCATTATCTTCAAACTTGAAATTTAAATTTCAGGATCATTATTATTACTTACGAGTAAGATTATGACTAATGTGGTAATAATTATCAAATGGAACACCGCCATTCTAACATAATTTAAATGCTTTTAACAAATTAATAAAAAAAATAAAAAAAAAATTATTCGTTTTGTTTTGACTTATATAAAAGTAAACTTTTCTTGAAGAGATTTATTTTAGAACTGAAATGAAAATATTTGATACTTTCATAAACACTCTCAGAGAAGAAATCGACAGCGATTCCTGCTTACAATTTGTTATCAGTGTTAGTCAGCGCTCAGCTGTTCGAATTCTCTTGCTAAATTAAAATATCATTCAAACTTAGTAGCATCATAGGCCACAGCATACAAATTTTTTACATTCACATAGCAAAAATATTAGCTGTGACAAAAATATAAACTTTGATGCCTAAACAAAGTTTTATAAAAGAGAAATTTATTCTATAACGATACAACCAATAATATTAAAAAATCCCCAATGGTGTAAACATAACGATGATGTTTTGATAAACGGAAACTCTAAATTTAATTTAGCGGAGCAGAATCAAATTTTTACCAAAATTTTAATAATTTATTCTTTGCTAAATCACTATTTTTATTAAAGAACTTTTATACTTTATTAAATTTCTATTTTAGATTAAACTACTTGAGCCAGTTTATTAAAGCATTACCAAATCTATCGTATCGAATCGGACCCATACTCGCAAGTATAACTTTGCAGGTTGTTATGTGATCTTCAAAACCAAAGACTAAAGATTTCATTTCTCATCTCGGCAGGTCTATTAAAAGTAAGCCTCAGACCAGACAATAATACTTTAATCAACTTTAGATCTGAAGGGCTAAACAAAGTCTTCATTTCCTCTAGTACCAAAGTTTAGAATGAACTTTTCTAAAAGAGAAAATCTTAAACTGCAAAGCACGGTTTGTAAACCATATACAACCGATCAAACTGTACATAAGTTCCTCTGCCGCACTAAAATATCTGTTTTCTCCTTCTCCTTTATAATTTGCATACATTAAGATATATAAGAATGCCAATGAGGACTACAATAAATTGGTTTGGATCTAACTAATTAAATTTTAGTTCTTAATTAAAAATTAAAACTAATTTTCCTATAATATATAGTAAAAGTGTTATAGATCGCAAAGTAAAAACACTTTTTTGACTTTCAACTTTTATTTGCTGATTACTTAAATTTTACATGGCTTAAAGATATTGCTGAATTTAAAATTCGATTCAAAATATTCAACACTAATATTGCTTGTGTTATACAAACATAATTCGAAGGAAATATTTTTCAAATTTTTAAGTGGAAGAATAAAAAATTTTAATTAAAATAAACTTTTCTAACAATCATTAATAAAAACGCACTTGGTTCATTTTTTCTAATTTAAAGCTTCCTACTAATTTTACGTCATAGTTTATTAACAATTTTTATTTGAACCAAAAATTTACACTGAATTAAAAAATAAATCTTATGATTATTTTTGAATTTAAATTTATTGTTTAACATTAATTTACGCTCCCTTTTTTGAGGCTACCTTCAGCAAATAATATTAATTATTAAAGTGAGTGAAAAATTTATTAGAATAAAATAAAAATATCCTTTTCTAAGAAAAATAAGTTTTTGTAAGAAAGTAGAAGAAAAAAACAGGCAAAGAATATTATGGAGAAGTTTTTTATACCGAAATTTATTCAATAAATTTTGTATCTTGTTTATCGAAAGATTTATAAAGAATTAATTAAATTAAAAATTCATGATTTTATAATGACGAGTCAGTAATTTATCCATTGCTTTTTCCTTATACAATTTATTTTGTTTGCTCTGCTGTTATTTTGACTATTCTTTTTTTTACTGTCTAAAAAAAGAGTTTTTGTTTCTTTTTGTACTTCTTATAATCCTTTAGAAATTGAATTAATAATGAAAATGTGTAATAAATGATGAGGCCAAAAATTGTTTTTGCTTCGATTAAAAGAAAAAAGGTTAGAATTTTATCGACTCATCCTTTTATGACAACAAATTTATTCATTTAGTATATTAAAGGGAAATTGTAATAAAATTGTTAATTTAATAACATAATTGTTACAAGCAAAATTTATGACGTTCTTATTACAGTATGGCATAAATTTAATTAAAATTTTTGAGAATGATTCAACAATTTTTTATTAGAGTCGGAGAGAAAAAATCGAGCAACTTATGTATGCAACTTTAGAAAACCTCAATCGGCAACACTATTTTTTAAACTATAAAAACTATAATTTTTTAAACTATAAAAATTTTTAATATTTAAATTTTTGACGGGAATTTCTTGCAATATTCAAACGGTAATTAGATGAAGTTAAATAAATATAAAATTAATTACAACGTCTACTCTTAAAACTTATTTTTTTTTCATATTACTCCATTAAAATCAAAGAGTTTCTCCTTTTACTAATTTGAAGGGAAAAAATTCTTGAACTTTATGAAAATTGTCAAAAAACAAAACAAAAAAAAACTCGTTTTTCTTTAAACACTGAAAATAATTGAATTTCATAATAAAAGACCGTATAAATAAAAGCTTAAGTAAATTTGATATCCAAGCGGATCATTCACAAGTCAATTGTGCTTCATTTTTTCTTTGTTAATAAACTTCTTGATTTTACTCAAACAAATAAAGAATAAAGGGCGAAGAAAAGAAAAACTGCTGTTGCTTGCTTATCATGCAAAAACAAAAATTAAAATCCATGAAAATGTTTTGTTTACTAACTTGACAAAAACACAAAAAGGAAGCCAAAAGAAGACAATAAGAAGAACAAAAAAAAAAAAAAGAGCAGAATTTTCACATAACTGCTAAATTTTTTCACCTTTCCTTTTTATTACCCACCTTATTGTCTTTGTAAGTTCAAAATATTTTACAATCTCTGCTGCTTACGTCAATATTTTTTTTCCATTCTCAAACTCTGCCTCTTAAAAGAGAAAAAAAAAAACAAAAGTAAAAATAAAATCAAAATTCTCTTAATATCGATTGGGTAAAATACGCACAACAACAATATTTTTCACCTTTTCATTCCTTTGAACTTTAAAAATTAGAAAACAATAGTATAGAAAATGACAATAAAGAAATCGTTATTTTGTTTCGAATTTTAATTGAATGTAATATGTATATCTCGTATATAGATTTTAGTAAAATGAAATTTTGAACTCATAAATTTGTAAAGAATCTAAGATTATAAAAAATTCTAATCAAAGATTTTTTTCCAGTACTAGTGAAAATAATTAACAAATTGTTTGAAGACGATGATTTATGACTTAAATCTAAGGCTCAGAAAGAGTTTGCAGCAGTACCTACCGCTAGAAAAAGTGAAAAATTCAGAATAATCTGCACAAAATATGCGAACAATAAACATTATGCCACTTTTTGAAAAATTTTCGGAGAAGGTTGTGTGCAACCAGTTGGAGAAGTTTTTAGAAAGAAATGAAATGTTATGAAAAGAACAATTTGATTTTAGAAAAGCAAACTCAACTGAAACTTGTTTGAATTAAATGAGTGGAAAAAAGAAACTGATGCTAGTAAAATGATAGAAACTATTAAGAATCAGTAGAGAAACATTACTCAACAAATTAAAGTCTAAACGAAGAATTAAGGTCGTTCATATCAAGCTTTGGTAAGAGATGGCAAAAAACGAAGTTGAAGGATGTCTATTCTAATGCAAGACTTATTGATCTAAGAGTACCCCGAGGCACCATTTTGTATGTAGTTTTATTTTTGTTATACATAAATGACATATAAAATGTATTATGTAAAAGTATATGTATTTTGTATGACATACCAAAAAATTATTAAAATAAAATCGAAAGTATGTTTGTTTACTGACGATACATTGATTTATATTGTATAGGGAGAAATTTATATTGTGCTGATATAATTCAACAACAAATAAATATGGACATAGGAAATTTAAAGATGTGTATGAATAAATTATTGCTGTACATCTCAAAAATAAAAGTTATGTGTACGAATGACGAAAACAGAAACGTTGAGGTTAAAACTGCAAACGTAGAAATTGAATTTGTTCACAGTCTAAAGTATTTAGGAGTTATTCTTGATAACAATTTAAGGTTTGGCAAGCATACAGGTAGCATACGAGGGAAAATATCTAGTAAAATTGGTTTCCTATTAAATATTAGAAAGTCTTTATTCGAAAAATATGCTGTAATGATGTATGATAGTCTAATTCTTCCACATATATACTTTTATTCATCTACTCTATTTATATGAAGCAAAGAAAAGAAGAACAAAAGAAGAAGCAAAACAGGGTAATGAAAATCATTCTAAAGATTGACAGGAGGACCAGCATTGCAAATAAACTTTCAAAACTGAAGTGAAGGAATATGGATCAAAGGATAAATTTAAATGCATTGCATTTTTGAAGTTAAATATGTTCTACTTCCCGAGTATTTGCAAAAAAAGTTGAATTACATACTTGGAGGAAACCTACTACTTCCACAGAACACCTTATTATACAAAACAACTCAGTTATAGAACACTTTATCAGCGTTTTTGAGAAATGATAGCAATTTTTCCACATAATTCCAGGATAATTACATTTTGTTGAATTTCCCGTTTCTGTTTGTTATTTCATTATAATCATTATTAAATTTTTTTCCTATGTTTTAAATTTTGCTTAGTAGTTAAAATTTTGAATTAATTATAAAATAGTGATTTCAGCATATACGCCTATTTATGCACCTATATATATCAGTCTATGTATATAAGTATATTGTGAACTCATTAAAACGCTCGCACTAAACCCGAACTACACAAAATGTTTAAAGCAAACAACTCCCAACCGATTTTAATATCGGACTTCTAAAAGTATTTTTTAAATTAAGAACACCAAAAAATTCTTATTAGATCCTTTTTTCTTGATTTATTTAAAAAAATTACTGGCATTTTGTTTTTTATTAAAGTTTATTGCATCGAACCATTGGCAGTTGTGTGATTTTTCAATTTATTTGATAATAAGTTTAAATTTTTCTTAATCGGATTTATCAAATTTTTATACATGTTCAAAATCATTAACTATTATATTGTCTAGTCAAGAACATTTCAAAAGGATTTAAAGTCAATTATTCATAAAAACCTCCCAAATACATTTAAGTGTATTGAT